CATGGAATTTCTTGAAAAATATATCCATTTAAATAGAAGTTCAAAATATGTACTTGTGTTAATTGAGATAATCAGAAAATTACCAATTTCAAACACACTAATTGGTAAATCTTATAATGGTTTTTATTAAGACGGAATTAGTTTAGTGTCAAGTGCTGACTATAAGGGATTTTTAAGTTCTATGATGCCTACATTTATATATCTCATATTGTTGACTTATTATTTAGTAATTTTATCATTTTATTTTCATGAGAATTTGTGAGAGTTTTTTTTTAATGCAATAGGATTAATTACAAGTCTTCTGATATCAAAACAGGTTTTGGGATTATGACTGTTGGGAATCAAGTCCCTAAAAATTTTTCATTTTGCACAGCTAACCAGAAACCCCAGAATCAAGTCAATGTTCAGCATCTCTAATGTATACATCACCCTTCTTAATCAAAAGTATAAAATCATACTGAAATCATCAATACAATTTACATTACCACTCAAAAAACAGGTTAATAAGAAGTTATTTTAGCCAGTAGAGGTGGCATGTGCCTGTATTTCCAGCTCCTTCAGAGCATGAGCAGGAGGATCATAGATTTGAAGCCAGTTTCAGCAACCTATTGAGGTTGTAAAAAACCTAATTAGACCCTCTTTCAAAATTAAAAGTAAAAGGGCTGGGGGTGTTTCTCAGTGGTTAAGTGCCCTTGGATTCATTCCCCAGTACCAAAAAAGGGAAAAAAAAAGCATCAATAACATTAATAAAACTTTTTGTTAAATATTAATGAATATACTAAGATGCTATGGGAAAATCTCTGAAAATAGAGAAAAAAGAAATTTTAAAATTATGTCTTCAAATACCTGCGCTGGAATTTTATAACAACCACACATTCTTATCTAATCAACAGGCTGTCACTATGACTTATACTTCCTAAAGGCAACTCATTGCAAAATACATTCCAATTAAAGATTTTATTTATTTTTTTAAAGACACACAGAGATAGATAGAGACAGAGAGAGAGAGAGAGAATTTTGATATTTATTAATATTAAAATTTTTTTACTTTCGACGGACACAACATCTTTGTTTTTAGTATGTGGTGCTGAGGATTGAACCCGGGCCACAAGCATGCCAGGTGAGAGCACTATGGCTTGAGCCACATCCCCAGCCCAAAAACTATAAATTCCTTAAGGGCATATTTTTTTTTCTCCACAGAGAATATTATAGTCTATAAGATATAACAGTTGATAGTATAGTTGATAAGAGGCTGGTAATATTTTGACAATTGAGTATATTGGTCACAGCATTTTCTTACAACATCAGTAGAAATTGGTGAATGAAAGGGTTAAATGCCAGTTAAAATTAAATCTGTATTCATAATGTTGGAGTCATGATTAAACGGGACAATAAAAAACTCAAACAACCAAAATCATTTTTCCTTAAATGAATGAAAACTCAGGAATCCCTAGGAAAGCACAGTCTTATTAGTTCAACTGAAATCTCTTAGGCAGAAATAATTTCAATTTAACATGTTCAGTAATGTTTTATTTAACTGCTTCCAATAGAGTTCATTTGATCAAAACCTGAAGTGTTTGAAACCCTCAGCAGTTTTATCTGCTGTGCTGTTGCCTCACAGGTCACACAGTGACCTTGTAGACTACTGCCATATAGTTCTGTCTGTTGCCATAAACATCTCACTTGCAGTTGAAGACAGTAATTAAAAAGATTCCATGATGAGGATCAGCGTTTAGAGCAGAGATCTGAGACTGCACTGCTGATGAATTTATGAATTAAATTTGCCCGCTGAACTGCAGCAAAGGTGACAGAATCTCCAGTTTACAACCATGTTTTTAATTTAGACATGTTATGCATGGCCAGAAACAACAACAGCCATTTCCTTTTAACATGGCTTATTACTTATAAATATCATGACAGCACTATAGCTGCATTAATCTGAAAGGATGAAAAGATAACAGTACTGTTATCATAGATGTGAGGTGTCTCTCAAAACCTCATGAGGGAGACAATTAAAAAAAAGCCATAGAGGTGAAAAGATTGTGTTACTAGAGCATAAATCTAAGCAGTGCATTAATTCACTGATTGAGCTTAACTGTATGCTAACTGTAAGCAGGTAGGGTATGGCTGGAGGAGGTGGGCCTCTGTGGGCTTGTCTTTGGGATATATAGTTTGCCCTTGTTGAGTGGAACTCTACCTCTCTGCTTCCTGATGTGATGTCCTGAGTTGTTTTTTCTCAGTCTCACTCTTCTTCCATGATATTCTATTTTACCCTAAATCTTAAGGAATGGAATGGGCTGAGACCTCTGAAACCATGAACCCCCCAAATTAATTTTTCCTCTTCCAATTGGTCTTATCAGTTCTTTGGTCACAGCAGCAAAAAAGCTGACTAAAAGAAGTATGCAAACAGTTTTTTTTTTTAATTCTAAATTTCCAAAGATGCAGAAATATACAAAATAGCATTTTCTAAATTTTGGTATAGAAGTATGTGCTAATGCTGAACAAGTAAGAGGAAGTGCATGGAGGTAACAACAATTCACTTAAGATATCAAAATCAAAAGTGATGATTGATTCATAAAGAGGTGGAAATATGGACAGATAAAGCAAATGTTTTACAAATTTAATGCTAGTGTTCATAAGGCATATGAATGTTCACTGGTAAATTCTGTCAATTTTTTTCTACGTTTTAAACATTCATAATAAAATGATGGAAAATACTATAAATGAACATGTGGTAATAATCTGTTTCAAGATATATTTCGCAGTTGTCAATTATTCTTTGAAAACTGAAAACGAATTGAGCTAATCTTCAATGTGCTGTCTGTAAATCGCTATGTAGCTGGAAATTGGCATGCTTTAGAAATTTAGTAAAAACTCTGAATCTTCACTCTTTGTAGTGCAAACCAGTTCTACTCATCACAGATAAGTGGAATGCCAGTTGCCATAAGTGAGCCATTTATTTTAAAATTCTTCAAGTTGAAAACTATCTCTTATCCTAATACAGTACGTACTAGTCATTCCAAATGATGATTAAATATAAAACTTTTTCCTTTGAGCATTAAGTGCTTACTAAATGTTAGCGATGACCTTATATTTCCTTGCATTTTGCTCTTCAGAATTCACTCTCTTGTGACAGTGTACTTTAGTCCTTACTTAAAAAAAAATCACTTTTTTTCTTTCAATGAATTCTAGTTAGTATAATATATCAGAAGACATAAATCAAATGTCTAAGTGAAGGCTCCAATTTTCAACAACAGATAATACATAAAATCTACTAAAATGATTTTCTACTTAGGACTAAGAGAATGTTGAGTAACGATATTCTGGAAGCTCAGAATTACACAAGCACATGGGTCAAGAAAGGCTGGTGCTTTTATTGAAATAAAATGGTGATATAAAGATAAAACTTTTACCATGATTTTCAGGAAAATAGTGAGTTTTGCAAAAGTTGAGGCAACATCATGAAATATTTAAGCAAGGGAATCTTGAGGTCAGGAAGATTGAACTTAAAGCCCTTCTATGCAGTTCTGATCAAGGAGTATGGGCAAGACCAGTAACATCTGTAAGCTTCAGCTGTTTCCTTTGTAATTCCAAAGTAGCAGTGTTTTATTTCTCAGGCTTACTGTGATTGACTAATGAAATCATTCATACCACATGCATTTCATAATGCATATAAAGTAGCAAGTAGTCAATCAATAATTATCATTTGAAATTATTTACTAAAGGCTGAATGTTGTTTTCTTTAAAAACAAGCACTGAAGTATGATTTTGAATTCAGAATATATTAACATCATATAAATGGTTACTATTTGATAAAACAAAAACTATACATTCATAGCTGCAGAAAACATTGGAAAACTTGATAGATTTATACACAGTTCTTTTAAAAGCAATAGTTACTACAAAGACTGAAGTATCTCATTCTTCTGGGAAGGAATATTCTGAGAAATACAATTGATTGAAATAATGCTGGTGGCTGAATTTTTGCTTAAAAATAAATTTATATCCTTAAGAACTGTATTTTTTTACTTTTTTTTAGTTGTTGATGGACCTTAATTTTATTCATTTATTTATATACAGTGCTGAGACTCAAACCAAATGACTCACACATGGGAGGCAAGTACTCTACCAATGAGCAACAAACAAAGCCCTAGGAACTGTATACTTTGTGTTAAAAAGAAAATGCAATGAAACCCCAAATATAAAATATATAAGCATTAACCTAAAGAAAAATGCATAAGTCCTCTGTTCTGAAAATTAAAAAACATTATTGAGACATGGTAAAGAAAAAATATATATAAATAAGTTATTCCATATTTATTGATCAATAGTGCCAAGAAGTATGCTCTCCCCAAATTTGAATATCTATTCAATATGATCCTAATAAAAGTTCCAATTAGTATTTTGGGGAAAAAAAGATGCTGTTTTATTTTAGAAAATTAAAACAGCAATAATGTTATGTTTTTAAGGTTGATTGTGGGGAATACATGGCTAAATCAATCAGGGTCACTTCAAGTGAATTTGGGATGA